GGACAGGAAATAAGGGACAAAGACAGGAGACAGAGGATAAGGGAGAAGGGGAAAGGAACAAGGAAAGAGGGGAAGGGGATAGAGAGGAGGCAGATGTGGCCCATAGGAAAATAGTGGTTTATAAAGGTAAAGTGGGAAACCCTATGTTAGGATGAGGTGTTTAATTAGACAGGTTAATTATAGGGAGGGACCCATGGCTCTAGCTTTATATGTAAGGGGAGGATGGCTTTGTCAGGCATAGGTGGGAGAGAAAGTCCTTGGTCCCACGAAGGCTAGATGCCCCAGTATGGGGAAATTCAAGGGTGGGTGGGTGGGGGCACATCCTCATAGAAGCTGTAGGAGGGGTATGGGATAGGCGGTTTCTGGGTGGGAGGGAAATGGGGAAAGGGGATAACATCTGAAATGTAAATAATTATCCAATAAAAAAATTAATTTAAAAAAATTAGGTGAGACAAAAGGGGATTTTGATTGCTGGACTTTAATACTTGGATAGCTGGACCTTGGTAGTCAGACTAGGGAGGAACAAGTGGCCACATAAGGAAATAGACCTTGGAGGCTAGCTCCAGGAATGTAGTCTAAGGGTTTTTAACAAGGCAGAGGGAGTGTGGGAGAAGGTCAAGGCCTATCAGAGCCATGTTTCTAAGCTAGTTAGAGTCCCTTCGAGGTGAACAAACATCTGCTCACCCCAGACAGGGAATCAATGACAGACCAACTTAAGGACACCAGAGTCCAACTTGATAAAACAATGAGTTTTATTGGAGTTACTTAACAGGACTGTGAGTGAGGGATTACTTACAGAAGCAGAAATGACTGAAAGCTGCATCACCCAGGCCCACCCCAGCATGAGTGACAGCCCACAGAAACCAGGAAACCTGGAACATACCACATAACCTGCAGGCAGCTCAACAGGTTGGAGAGTCCTTTCCAAGTGACTGATCTAAGCCTCCTCCAGGCAGCACAGCTGGTTTCTGTTTCTTCCAGGCAGCTGGTTTGGTTTTAAAGTGTTCTTTGCAGCTCAGCTTCCTTTGTTTGAGAGGAACTCTCAGCTTTTATTATTTACTCTGGCAAGGAGGGGGCCTGGTGAATCTGACCAGTTTCAGGGACTTCCTGACAGTATCTTGAGGTATTTATCATCCTGCCTAAGAGCTTCCAAACAGAATGTAATGTTTCAATCTTGGAGGACACTGTTACACAACAGCACAAGAAACAGTTCATAAAGGCTGTAAAACTGGAACATACTGTACAACTTGCCTTGTCTCCCTAACAGGTTGGGGAGTATCTCTTGCAGGCAACTCAGGTATTCTGAGCCTCTTTTGCTTGAGAATGTCTTTCAGGAACCTTTACTGCTTGCATATATTCAGGAAAAGAGAAGCCTAATATATTTGTTCAGTTTCAGGGACTTCCTAAAGCCTTTGATGTTTACTTTCTGAACTTAACAAGCTTCCCTACAGGGTAATATGATTTTTATCTCTCTTTAGAACATCCTGTATCTTAATGAGTTTCCTTGCATGATGGAATGTTTCACATCCATTTTAACATCCTATGTCTTTTTTTTTTGTGTGTGTGTGGTTTTTCGAGACAGGGTTTTTCTGTGTAGTTCTGGCTGTCCTGGAACTCACTCTGTAGACCAGGCTGGGCTCGAACTCAGAAATCCGCCTGCCTCTGCCTCCCAAGTGCTGGGATTAAAGGCATGCACCACCACTGCCCAGCTACATCCTACGTCTTAATGAGCTCCCCCTTTACAACATACTATTTTATCTACCTGCTTTCCTACATCTTGCGTCTTAATGAGTTTCTTTCCAAGATGGATGCTTTTAATACTAGAGGAAAGTGCTATACAACACCCAACAATGGGAGGGTCTTCCTTCATTTATCCTAGTCAAAATAATCCTTCATAAGCCCAGAGGCTTCTCTTTCAGGTATCCAGTTGGCAATTGAGATAATCACATCTTCTAAAATATAATAACCGAAGACACTTTGAATAGTCTTATTCTTTTTGTTCTTAATGACCCAACATTAATAATAAACTAAAAAAAATCTTCAGTTCTCAGGTGTTTGAAATATCAGAATTACCAGATGGAGGAGATAATATGGGCCAGAAAATTTGTATTTATTATTTATAGTTCTTAGAAAAATCCTGTCAGGTAGCAATTGTATCCATTTCATTTAAATTTTTAAAAAATTACATGGTAGGGCTGGAGAGATGGCTGGGATGGAAAGATGGCTCAGCTGTTAAGCACTCTAGCTGCTCTTCCAGAGGTCCTGAGTTCAATTTCCAAAAACCACATGGTGTCTCACAACCGTCTGTAAAGGGATCCAATGCCCTCTTCTGGTGTGAACGGAAGACAGCTACAGTATACTCATACATAAAATAAAACTTAAAAAAAATTACATTATACACACACATGTGCATGCACCACAGTGCAGATTTGGAGATGAAAGGACAACTTAAAGGCTGTCCTGTACCTTGATCTAGGAGATCAAATACAGGTCAAGCTTGGTGGCAAATGCTTTAACCCACTGAGCTATCTGGTCAGCCCAATGGTCTCTAATTTAAAGAACATAATGAGGCATGGGAAGATAGTCAGCAATTATGACTCTTGCAGAGTGCTTATGGTGTCACCGTCACCCACATAGGGCCCTCTGTAGTATTTTTATTAATCTGGTATGACCCAAATGCTACAATATGTAATCTTTCTACATTATGTAGTATTTCTACAGTGAGATGTTCTGCTTGCCTTTTTAATGGGATATCTTCACTGGAAGGTTTGGTGTTAGCACACCAAGACCAAGTTCTTAGTACAAAGGAGATTTTTTGCCCCAGAAGGACAGAGGGCAAGGAATAAGAGACAACAGACAGAAGACAGAGGCTGAGGGAGAAGGGGAAGGGAACAAGGAATTGGGAGAGAGGGTATTTGTCCCAGAGGGACAAAGGACTGCCTCTGGATGGAGAGGAGACAGATGTGGTCCACAGGTAAATGGTGGTTTATAAAGGTAAAGGGGAACCCTCTCCCTCCCCACCCCAACCCCCGTGTTAGGATGAGGTGTCTAATTTTAATTGGGCGTGTTAATTAGGTGAGCCAAAGGTGGCTTTTGGTTGCCGCACTTCAATGCTTTGATGCCTGGACTGTGGTAGTCAGTCTCAGGAGGAGGGATTGGACAAATAAGGGAATAAATAGTCTTTGGTGGCTAGCTTTAGGAATGTAATCTAAGGGTTTGCGGGGGAGAGGGAGTGGGAGAAGGGCTCCTATGACAGCCATGTTTGCCACACTCAGGCTGGCTATAGCCCTTCTTCATTCACAATTTGCTGTATACCTACTTTATACACATATGACATGCCCATATCATACCAGCCACATTTTAGATACCCAGTCAGTACATGTAACTAGTTGCTACTGTATTGAATAGCACAGCTCTAAAGCCTATGCTGTGTTTATTGTGCCTCAATAAATTAAGGTCTATAATCAATATGCTATATAAGTACTTTATTGTTTGGAAAAAAACCTTTTAAAGGTACTTTTTTTTTCTTTAATTTTGAGACAAGTTCTTATTACATTGATTTGCATATATGCATATGTGCTAAGCTGACTTTGAATTCAGGACCTTCCTGATTGTCTGGAATTCAGACACGACAGCACTGTCATCAGCATAAGTAATTATTTTGAGCCATTTCAGACTAATATGTCCTTCTCCAATTTGATCACTAAATAATAGCTTCATTCTTTTTAGCTTAATGTGTCACTCTGTTTCCTGTTTCTCTTAAGTTTAAAGTTTTTATAGTTTTAAATGTTCACTCAATCCTAATTGTTAGTATATTTGTGGTTTTCAGTATTTGCTATTCAAGAATATGCTTTTAGTATTTATAACTGTGTAGAGGTACTCACTTTGAAAGTATTGTCCAGCCAGGCAGTGGTGGTGCATATCTTTAATCCTAGCGCTTGTGAGACAGAGGCCAGTGAATCTCTGTGAGTCTAAGGCCAGTCTGGTCTACAGAACAAATTCTAGGACAGCCAAGGCTATGCTGAGAAAACATATGTTATATTGAAAAACAAAAACAAAAATGAAAACAGAACAAACAAACAAAAACAAAAGAAGAGGAAGAAAGAAAGAAACATAGTGAACTCATTCTTTAAAAAGAAAAAGAGTATAATCCATTTTTCCCATTAATTTACAAAGTTTGATGTCTCCATAATCCAGTTTTAGATGATTTTATCATACAGGTAATGGGTAATTTTCTTACCCATTTACAGTTAATTTCTACTTCCACCATTAGTCCCAATAACCACATAATATTTCTGTGTAAATAGTCCCTTTTGTAAACATTTCATAGAGTAAATTTCATTTAACTGATGAACAGTCTGGAGCTAAATGTGGCATATGGTATAAACTACATCACATACATTAAAACTTGATTTATTTACTTTCAAACTTCAAACATTTCTGAATTCCTGTTGCTATGATTAAACACCCAGGAAAAAAGCAACTTAAGGGAGAAAAGATGTATTGGCTCATAATTCCAGGTTACACTCCATCACTGAGGGAAAGTTAAAACAGCAGGAACGTGAAGCAGCCAGCCACTTTATCCACAGTTAACAGCAGAGAAATGAATTCATGAATGCATTGCTCAGCTAGCTTTCTGCTTTTAATTCACTCAAGCCTAGGGAATGATACCACCCACGGTAGTAATATAATTACCTTCTTCTTTTTATTCACTCTGGAACCCCAAGCCCAGGGATTGGTGCTGCCCATAGTGAATTAAGGTAATTAACCTGTCCTCAGAGGCCCTCCCTTCTAGGTGATTCTGGATTTTATCACACCAATGATTAAAGGCAATCATCACAACACCTTAGTATAGTCATGGAGACTGTGGTAAGTGAGACACATTGTTCTTGTTAACATTGAGTTGTTATAATCACTAACTGTAATGACTCCTTTTTTATTATATGAGCTTCGTTTCTTCACCACAGGGAAACTAATCCTAACTTCTTGGTATCTTTCAGAATCAGGGTCTAAGTATGAGACCAAGAAGTTACCACCAAATCAATGTAACAAATCTGGGCCAAGCATCTGTAAAAAAACAGCTTCTTCACAACAAAAGGTTTCCATAGACAAGGCAAAACATAACAAGAATTCAGTCCCAAGAAAACCCAAGAAAAGACAGTCAGGCAAGAAATCTTTAAAGTGCAATCATTGTGGGAAAACCTTTTTTCGAAGCTTATCTTTTAAACGTCACCAAGACTTTCACACTGGAGAGAGGTCTTATGAATGCAGTTCTTGTAGACAAGTTTTCAGGCAGATCTTATCCCTCATTCTTCATCAGAGAGTTCACAATCAAAATAAAAGCTATGAATGTGATGAGTGTGGGGACATTTTTAATAAAAAGTTAACTCTTATGATACATAGAAGAATTCATAATGGAAAGGAAATTTCTCACCATGAGAAGGCCTCAGATTCATGCCCTTCCCTCAGTCTACACCATAATAATCACACTATTGACAGCATTCACCAGTGCAGAAAATGTGGGAAAGTCTTCAGCCGGATGTCATCCCTCTTACTTCATAAGAGGATTCACAACAGAAAGAAAATACAAAAATACAATAAATATGGGAGAGGCTTCAAAAAGAAGCCAGGCCTTGTACATAAAAGAATTTGTATTGGGAAGAAAACTCATGAAAGTGAGAAAGCCTTAATTCAGACTCTCAGGCAGAAAGCTTGCCAGTCAGAAAACCCTTTTACGTGTGGGAGATGTGGGAAGTCCTTTAGTAGGATCTCAGCCTTAATGCTTCATCAGAGAATTCACACGTCAGGGAACCCCTACAAATGTGATACATGTCACAAAGACTTTGGACGGCTGTCAACCCTTATTCTGCACGTAAGGACTCACAGCAGGGAGAAGCAGTTTAAGTGCAGCAAGTGCGAGAAGGTGTGCAGTCGCCTTTCATCCTTTCTTCAGCACCAGAAAATTCACAAAAGGAAAAAGAAACTTCTCGAGTGCAAGGAATGTGGCAAGATGTTTGGTGGCATGAAGAACCTTAAAGTGCATCTCAACATCCACTCAGAAGAGAAGCCTTTCAAGTGCAATAAGTGTAGTAAAGTCTTCGGCCGCCAGTCGTTTCTTAGTGAACATTTAAGAATCCACACTGGAGAGAAGCCCTATCAGTGTGAAGAATGTGGGAAAGCATTCAGTCACCGGATATCTCTTACCCGGCATAAGAGAATTCACAGTGAGGACAGGCCTTACGAGTGCGATCTGTGTGGGAAGGCCTTCAGCCAGAGTGCTCATCTGGCGCAGCATGAAAGGATTCACACTGGAGAGAAGCCTTACGCGTGCCAAATATGTAAGAAGTCCTTCGCTCAGCGCATATCCCTCATTCTACATGAAAGAAGTCACACTGGGGAGAAACCCTATGAGTGTAATGAATGTGGGAAGGCGTTCAGTAGTGGTTCGGACCTCATCCGACATCAGAGAAGTCATTCTTCAGAGAAACCTTATGAATGTAGCAAATGTGGTAAGGCATATAGTCGGAGCTCATCGCTGATTCGACATCAGAGTACACATTTGGAGGGACCAGCCTAAAGCTGTTGCTATATCTGCAAAAGCTAAAAGGGATATCAAAGAAGTGTTCAGAGACATGGAGAATGTGTGTAAGTGGTCTTGACTTATGATTATAGATAGATGTCCCAATAAACTCATCGTAAGTTGAAACGTTAGAGACAAAAATATATTTAATATACCTGACCTGCCAAATGTGATCATTTAGCAGCACAGTGTAGTATGGAATCCCAATTGTTCAATCTCCTGACTGCATGGCTTCCCAGAAGCTATGGCCGGATCCTGCTGCCCAGCACCGTGAGGGTTGTCACCCTGCTTATCATCAGCTTAGGGGAAGATCACAATTTGACCCAATTCCTAGTTGAATGGCTATTGCTTCTGTACCATCATAATGCTGAAAAATCATAAATCGGCAATCATTAATTGGAGGGAGGGAACTATCTGCCCATAACATGTTTTGTGTACGTGGAGCCATGGTATGATATTCTCTCCCTGTGAAAGCCAAAGAACAAAAGTAGTCGGTGGATTTTGAAGTGAAGATCTGAAATCAGCTGAGGTATGCTCAGAATTTTGAATCAGGGTTTGTGAATGAAGGCGGTTTTCAGTTGGCATTTCATTTCTAGTGTAGTGTTCGGGACATATCACTGGATACATACAGTGAAATGGAACTGGAACTACTAAGTCCGTGTTTCTGGATGGAGCTTTGAGCCTGAGTTGAGGTCCCAGGAAAATAGAATGTTAAGTCGAACAGGCAAACCAAGCAAAGCAGGGTGCCTCTTTCTCCTGACAGACCTGTGTTAGGGCGAGAACGAAAAGAGTGAGTCTTTAGGTTGCTAGAAATAGTAGTTACAGTGGGTGTGGAAAAGTAATCAATATCACACTGCCTCCATGGATGTGAAGATACACTGAGAAAATTAGTAAGACAGGCTGGGGGCTTGGGCAGGAGATTCTCAAGAACAAGGAACTTCAGAGCAGGGAGAAGCTATTTTTTACTTTTTTTACTTGAAAATAAATCGTCTATATTTATATAAGTAAACCATGTTTTCATGCAATACTGCTAGTTGCTATACAAAAAAGTTACTCTTGAGATATGTGTTTGGGTTTTTATGGTCTGGATATTTGTACCACCCCAAAACCCTCATATGTTGAAGCACTAACCCTTCAATGTGATGATATTTTGAAATGGGATTAATGAAATCATGGTGTGGATGGGCCTTTTTGATACATTTATTGATCAGACACACAAGAGGGCTTTGTCTTCTTCTATCCCATGTGAGAACACAAGCAGGCCATGTGCAAACCAAGAAAAACCCTCACCAGAACCTGACCGGTTTGATACACTCACCTTGGACTTCCGCTTATGGAGGAACTATGAGAACCTAATTTCTCTTAAGTCAACCCGTCTGTGATACTGTGTTATAGCAGCTCAAGCTGATCAGTTCATGGAAGAACTCCTAGGTTTAGGTACTGGCTGTTTTTCTTTGACCTGTCCAACATGTTCAGTGTATTTTTTGTCCCCTTTTCCAGCTTCTGTAAGCTATATAAGAAATAAAATCTGAGCAAAAGCTGTTTAGGAGAACATCTGTTTCTTGTTAAGAAAAGCTTATAGTGTTTGTTTATATTAAGAAAAGTTTATAGGGGTTCCAATTTTGACCACAAACACTGGGATTTGAGTAGGAAGTGTCCACCACAGGCTCATCATTCCCAGCTGGTAGGAGGCTCTGAGAATTTCAGGTGAGGCCTTACTGGAGGAGTCATGTCATGGGGGCGTGGGGTGCTCTGTCTTATCCCACCCTCCCCTTTAAAAATTCCCTTTAAAGAATTAGGGACTCATAGCCAAACATTAGGCAGAGCTCAGGGAACCCCACAGAAAAGGGGGAGGACGGATTGTAGGAGCCAGAGGAGTGGAGGACATGGCCCAAAAATATCAACTAAGCAGGAATCCTAGGGACTCACAGAGTCTGTGTGGGCCCAGTCTTACTGCTTCTTGTTATTCTGTTTGACTGATGTCCCTGGGAGGCCTATTCTTTTCTAAAGGGACATGGAGGAATAGTGGCTCTGGGGAAGTGTGTGTGTGTGTGTTGGGGGGGGGGGTGTTCAGGACTGAGAGGAGTAGAGGGAGTGGAGGCTACTGTCAGCATTTATGGGAGAAAAATTTTTTTAATTTAAAATATTTTATATACGTGTGTGTGTGTGTGTGTGTGTGTGTGTGTGTTGCCTGTGTGTATGAATGTGCACCACACATAAGCCTGCTGATCAGATGCCAGAAGAGACCATCAGATTCCCTATGACTGGAGTTATGGTTGTGAGTCACCATTTGGATGCTGGGAATCGAACGTCTGCAATAGCAAGTGCTCTAAACTGCTGAGCCGTCTCTCCCCACCTCCGCCCCCCAAGCCTTCCAGTCTATAGTATCTTGTTATAGCAGCTCAAGCTAACTAGTCCATTAGAGAGCTTTCACCAGAACCTTCTCTATCCCTTCTTTTCCCCCATCTCTTTTCTGATTGCCATAAGAGAGCTGCTTTGCCCTGCCTGCCCTGCTATGATGGACTAAACCCAAAATAAATACTTCTTTGTTTTGCTCAGGTATATTGATTCAGCAATAAAAATGCTAATACAAGTAAGAAAACAACCAAAGCATACAGAAGTTAAACTTGTAGGCAGGGTAAAGGCAGCTGAAATGTTAAATTTTCAGATACGTAAACACAAATAAAATCACTGCAGCAAGTGTGAAGAGTGGCATGGAGAAGACTCAATGAGTGGTACGGTTTTCTGTATTTCTACACCTCTCACCTCTATCCAAATCTTTGTGTTCTGTCAGGTCGTCCCTCTTGGTTCCAGATCAACAGTATCCCTAAGGGAATGCCATCTGGGATGTGTGTCAGTGGTAGTAAAGCACATGTATTCGGATTTTCATTCTGTTTGCTGTGATAAAATATTGACTAAAAACAACTCAAGAGGAGAGTTTGTTTGGCTTACACTTCCAGGGCACAAATCATTGAGAAGTCAGGGTAGGACCTCAGAAAGCAGAACCTGGAGGACTGCTGTTTCCTAGCTGCCACACATTCCTCAGGACAACCAGCCCAGAGAATGACACCCACTGGCATGCCCACAGTCTGACCAGTGCAGTTCTCAGTTGAGACTCCTCAAATGACTAAGCTACAAATCTGACAGACTTCAGTTCAATCCCTGGAACTCCCATGGTGAAAGGAGATAACCAGGTCCTGCAGGTTGTAAACACACACACACACACACACACACACACACACACACACACACACAATGTAATATTTAAAAAGAATGTATAAGATTGAACTACCTGAAATACATCTTAAATTCATAAGTTAAATGTAAGTTGGTGTTTTGTGTTGTTGTTGGGGATAGTAGTATAAACATTCAAAAAGCTGAAACAAATGGAAAAGGGGATAATTGCCTAGAGTAATTGCCTAGCATGTGGTAAGGCCTTGGGTTCAATTCCAACAGGAAAAAAAAAAAAAGAGAGGTTATAATAAAGGGGTCAGTTTCCAAGAACACATAATTCTCAATGGACATAAGTTGACTTATAGAGGTGCAAATTAAATGATGCTAAAGAGCCAGTAGAAGCAACCAAGATCCCTGCTTGGCTTGAGCTACCCACATATGTTTTCAAAAAAAAAAGTGTTTAGCTCCCCGGTTGTCAAGCTACATGCATGGTACACCCCACTCCAAACAAAAGCATGAGGACCTAAATTCAGATTTCCAGTACCGACTTAAAAGTCAGGCATGGCTGCAAATGTTTGTAACTCCAATTCTGCGAGGTAGAGACAGCTGGATCGGGGAGCTTGCTGGTTAGATAGAATACCTGAAAAGGTGAATGCCAGATTCACTGAGAGACTTTCTCAAAAAATAAAATACAGCCAAGAATGTTACATGCCTTTACTCCCAGAACTCAGGAGGCAGAAGAAGGGGAATTTTTATGAGTTTAAAATTAGCCAGAACATACATAGTTCCTAGTTGACTAAACAAAAACAACCAAAGGTAGGGGCCTGGAGAGATGGTTCAGTGATTAAGAGCACTTGGTGCTCTTCCAGAAGACACAGCTTCAGTTCTAGGATCCAGATGGTGGCTAAGCAGCAACTCCAGTTCCAGGAGATCTGATGCCCTCTTCTGGCCTCCAAAGATACGAGCACACATGGTGCACAGACAAACATGCAGGCAAAACCACTCACACACTTACAAATAAAATCAACAAGGCTGAGGATATAACTCTGGTAAAGCACTTTCCACAAAAGCCTGGCCACCTCAATTGGATCCATAGAATCTATGTTAAAATCAGGTATGATAGCACCCATGTCTGTAATCCCTAGTCTTACAAGTAACCCCTCATGTGTACCCCAATAAAAACCCACTGTGGTGCTAGAGAAATTCCCAGCACCCTCATGGTGGCTCACAACCACCTATAACTCTAGTTCCAGAGGATCTAACACTTTCTGGCTTCCTTGGGCACTAGACATACATGTAGACAAAACACCCATACACATAAAGTACAAATTTAAAAAAATCACTAGTTAACTAGGATGAGTGTGTGTGTGTGTGTGTGTGTGTGTGTGTGTACTGCATCTCACCAAGAAATCCATCATACAATATTGCTCTACAGAGTGATTCCAAGGAGTTATCATTATAATCTCTTGAGGGAAGCAGTACTGGCACCATAATATTAGATAGCTAGGAGGCATTAGGAGGCTTAAAGTTGTTAAGGGTGGACACATCCCTCAGTAGCAGCAACTTGTAAAAACAGAAAACAAAAGGTAGGACTCTGATTATTGATCAAAACAGTGGGACTGGAGTCATATCTCTGTCCTTAAGTAATGACATGACATTCTGGATTTTTCAGAAGGGCTGGTGTGGTGAGTTGAGTAGGTTTGGCTCCCAGAGATTCATGTGTTTGAATGCTTGGCCCCTAAGGAGTCTCACTGTTAGGATGTATGGTCTTGTTGGAGTACTTGTGGCCTTGTTAGA